CCCACTAGTCGCTGTAGGAGAGTCTCTGTGGAACGTCATGGCCTTTCGAGGGAAGCGCCGTTTGTGTGCGAGGGTTCGATATGTTGGGCTGCGACGAAGTTGGACCGTAGGGCGTTTAGCAATTCGACGTTCGATTTATCGCTGGTCACTCTGCGGATGACGGATGGGCCGCCACTCATGATATTCCTGTAAAAGAGACAGTCCAGATGTTAAATTTCCATTACATTGAATTCCCGCGTTTTTTCCTATGTGCAATTCAACAGTTCGCACCCTGGCATGGAAGTGGGTTGGCCACTGACGATGTAGAGAGAATGAGCTTCATGCTTGCGCCACGAGCCTCCGGGCGGTGGGACTATCAGATACAGTGCAATTTTAATAATGGAAAGTAATTCAGTGAATAAATAAATATATTATCAGGTGCTGGGATGCATTCGAAATAAATAATCGGTGATACGATGAACTTTTGCCTTGCCCGGGATTATTAATGGTATCTGGCGGCACAAAACAGCTTTCCGCGGGGCAATCGAACTAAATAGGCTTGTTTTGTTCCTGCGCCGAAAAAAATAACCTCCACCAACCTCGCTGATTCTCTCCTCACCCATTCTCCGCCATCAAGAGTATGGCAATCAAGTAAGTTACCGCGGTATGTTCTCCTCTAATCCTCAAGATCGATGTGACTGATGAGTACCACCATTTCTGCAGCTATTTAATACTGCTGTCAAGGCAGGGTAAAGTGGTGAGTCCCGTCCACACTCGCTCGTCGCCCACCATGATCCTCGCACATTCCGTCCGCCATGACTTCAGAAAACTGACCACGGCAACTTTCCTCTCTCCCTCTCTCTTTCTCCACCTACATAGAGACTGGCGAAATGGTTCACTACCCTGTCTCCCAAAGATAAGGCCAAAATCATCAAAGATGTCACACAGCTAGTCCTTTCGCGCCGCACGCGCATGTGCAACTTCCTCGAGTATAAAGGTGCGGGACAAGAAGAAAAATTCACGCAACTCACTCCACTCCAGCCACCTACTTTGCTAGTAGGCTTTCCTGATAATGGAAACTGAGCTCCCCCTTTTACTTTCAATCAATACACTGACTCGGATCTCTTATTCCAGACACCAAAGTCGTCTACCGCCGCTATGCATCCCTCTTCTTCATCGCCGGGTGCTCGTCCGATGACAACGAGCTGATCACCCTTGAAATCGTCCATCGGTACGTCGAGCAGATGGACAAGTACTACGGAAACGTCTGCGAGCTGGATATCATATTCAACTTCCAGAAGGCTTATTTCATCCTGGATGAATTGCTGTTGGCTGGGGAGATGCAGGAAAGCAGTAAGAAGAATGTACTACGCTGTATTTCGCAGCAGGATAGCTTGGAGGATATGGAGGTGAGTGAGATCGGGTCTTATTTTCTGCCATGAATCATTTGCGTGTATTTCTACGGGCATCAGAAGAAGGGAGCGTGCTTTTCGTTGTGTTCCTGGCAATATCCTCTGGTTTCTGTTCCCTTTTCTTTTTTTTTTTTTTTGGGTGGGGGGAATTTCTAGGGCCCTTGATTGTCTCCCTTCTTCTCTTTTAAATACTGTGATCATGGTTGTTCAGTTTGCTGCGCCTAACCATGCTAATGATTTTGTCTACCCATGATCCGCAACTCAGGTCGAGCAAGATATTGTTACGAAGATTATGTAGTGTGTTCTTTAGCGGATTCTTCTCTTTCCGTAGCCGTCGTCGTTCGTCGAGGCTTCATATACGCCGCGCAAGTCCTTGTATTGCTTTTGTTGATTTATTCCGTTTGAATACTTCCTTTTGGAGTTCGCAATTGACCGCTGTTGCTGTTGCCGCTGTTGCTGCTGTTGTTGCTGCTGGAATTTCGCACGTATATATAATATATACTATACTTTTCAACTACGAATTTGAAATGCTAATCACGTTCGATTGAAAATTACAGGAATCTGAAGCTGAATTGGCTGGATTGAGAGCACTTGGCTTTTAGACTTCCGTTTGCGGAATGATCTTTCTTCAATGTTTCCATCATCGTCTTTGTGGGAAGGGGTATGGGCTGGTCTCCGGCTCACTGTGTATGCCTAATATACAGGCAGTTCATTGACTGGCGTTTTATAGCAGTTGTGGCGTACCTGACATTTCGTTCGTCTTGCTGAAACTGTTCTGAA